GTCCAATTGTGTGGAGAAAATGGGCCTTGAAAGATGGGTAGACCAGCCCAGATTCTTAATAGCAAACAACAGAAAGCAACAGTTTCATTCCTAGATACACACCTGACAGACAGACATACACTAACGTGCACAAGAATGTTTACAACATCGTAATTTGTAATAGAACCAAATTGGAAACTATCCAACTGCCCATCAGTAGTGGCATGGTAGTGTAGATAAGTAGTGGTGCATTCACCCAATAATAGAAATCTGTATAGATGTGAGAATGAACACATTACAGTTACACACATGGCAATGTGGATGGAGCTCACAAACATGAAATGAGTGATAGAAGGCAGATACAGAAGAGAATGATTCCATTATATCAAGTTGAAAAAGAGGCAAAACTAGTCTATGGTGTTAGAAGTCAGATAGTGGTTACCCTTTGGAAAGAGACACAAAAGGAGCTTTGGGAGTACTTGGAGTGTTTTGTTTCTTTATCTGAGTGCACATTACACAAGTAGATTCAGTTTGTGAAAATTTTTTTGAGCTGTATACTTCTGTGTATGTTCCTCTACATGTGTTATACTGTGTATTTTTTTCTGTATGTAATACACTATCAGACTGTTTATTTTGTGAAATATTGGGTAACTTAGAATTACTGGAGATCCTGGCTGTATATTCTCAAGCCTGATTCAAATCCCAAATCATGCCACCAAACTGCACTGCTAAGCCCTGAACTGCATCTTGCCCAACTGGCCACTGCTACCAACTCTGCTGGCCTTGTTGCTAGGAGTTTGATCCTGCTGCAGCTCCTTCCCACTCAAGGGAGCTCGTTCCATTCCTGACTCCATTCTTGGCTGATTTGAGTCACTGCCCTCCTAGTCAGAGTTGGGGGGAGAGGGAGAGGAACCACCTTTGCTAGGTGGAGCTTAGCACAAATGCCCATCCTTGCTACAAGGGAAGCTGGAAAAGCAAGTACCTGACATTTTCAGATTTTCTAGTGGGTGGTGATGTCATCTAGAAAATTCTCCTAACAAAGGGAGGGCAGATTTTGGTTAGAGAGGAAAATCCTTCTTGAGGCAAACATTGAGGTTAGTAGAAGAAAGTAGACTCCAAGTGTTAGCAACAGTAGAAGCCAAGAGGTAGAGATTGAATAGAGACTATGGCATTTGGGTCCAGTGAAAACAAGTTTAACCAGATTAAAGGGGGTGTTCTAGGAAAATGGCTTGAGAGAAATTGAAGGAATAGGGTGGGAAAAGGTTGAGGATTACCCTGAAAGTCAAGCAAAACCAAACCCACTGCCATCAGGTCGATTCCGACTCATAGCAACCCCCATTGGGTTTCTGAGGCAGTAAATCTTTCCGGAAGTAGATTGCCCAGTCTTCCTTCCACTGAGTGGCTGGTGGGTTTGAACTACCAACCTTCTGGCTAACAGTGAGATGCCTTAGGCACTGTTGCTATCAGAGCTCCTTTGAAATTCAGGCAGAGGGATTTAAATTTAACATGGGAATCTTGAGTCAGTGAAAGTTGAAAAAAAAGAAAAAAGTGCCCTGAGAGAGGAAGTACGGAAGATCCGTTAATCCTGGCCACACTTGTTGTTGGGGCAGCTAGGGGCCATCTGTGGTAATTTAAGGATGGAGTAGAGGATTGGGAGCAGAAATGAAAGGGAGAGGTCAGTTTAAGGGAGTATTTGAAGGGGAAAAAAAATAAAACTTCATGAAGAAAATGAAGTAGAAGCTGCTTCCAAAAGTTTTGATCCTGAGTAACTAAACTATAAGTGGTCCTGCCTTTCATTTGGAGCCAGAGAGTCTGAGGGGGCAGGTTTGGAGGAAGTAGAAGAATGAGTTACAGTTTTGGGTCATTGGTGATAGGCATTTGAGTAAAAGTGGTACCTGTGCAGTTGGACCCATAGAATTGACTCGATGGCAGTGGGTTTGGCTTTGTGCAGTTGAATTGAAGACTGGGAAGTGAAGCAAGCTCTGTGAAAGTCATAGCTCTCTCAGGGAGAAAGGCTGTGAAGGGAATGGAACAGTGTGCTGGAGCCCTCAGAGCATTTTATTCGTTGTTGTGTTAGACTGGGTTCTCTAGAGAAACAAAACCAGTAAAGCTTATATAGAGAGAGAAAGAAGAAATTTATCTTAGGAAAATGGCTCACACACTTATAGAAGCTGGCAAGTCCCAAGTTTTTGGATCAGGAATCAAGCTGGAGGCTTTTCCCAAGTCTTGCAGCTGCAGGGGCTGATGAGCTCAAGGTGGGCAGGCAGTAGGCTGTTGACTCCAACAAATGACAAATCCAAATCCAAGATCTCCAGGCTGAATGGCGGATTGTTCGCTCACGGACAGTTGTAGGCAGAATCCCGATCCACAGAAGAGTGTCTCTTTTCCCAGGATGTCCATAAATATACTGGAAGCAGGCCACACCCCTAGGGAAACTCCCTTTCAATGGATTGGCTGCTCACAGTTGCTTAAACCACACAGAATTGTGGTCCAGCCAAGTTGACACAGCTCCAGCTATCAGAGTCGTTACCTAGTATTGATGAACTGTGCTTTCTGCTTCATAAAGTTTCAGATCTTTCACCTCAGGACTCATTGATAAACCAAAATGAAAAAAAGAAAAAGTGTGTGTGGGGGACCCAAGTCAGTTGTTTTTCTTCCAAGGTGCCTCTGGGTGGACTTGAACTTCCAGGCTTATGATTAGCAGCTGAGCTCGTTAACCCTTTGTGCCATCCAAGGACTCATCACTTTGATACACTGATACTATTGCTTTTATTTAAAAAGGAAAAGAAAAGAAAAACAACCCCATTTTCTACCTGTTACTCTATCATCTTTGGAAAGATTTATGCATGTAAGGCTTTTTTTGGTTCTTCAGTGAAAGCCAGAACCTGAAGGACACCTATCAGAGAAGGAAAACTTGCAAGACCTGGAAAAACAAGGCCACCACCACACTACCTGTTAGTGTCAAGTTGATTCCAATTCATAGTGACCTTAAAGGACAGGGTAAAACTGCCCCTAGGGTGTCCAAGGCTTTGCTCTTTACTGAAGGAGACTAGTGGGTTTGAACAGCCAACTTTTTGGTTAGCAGCTGAGCACCTAACCACTGCACCACTAGTGCAACCTGAAAAAGGCAGCAATCCCGTAGAGATCCGGTGATCTGGCTCTTGCAGATTTCACTGTCATGGTTTTGTGAATACAAAGAGAAGAATACACTAATGCTGGGGCCTTTAAACAAGACCGAGAGAGCCTCCAGTTGATTAGGAAAATTATAAACTGGAGTTCTCAGCACTACTACAGGGTGGCCTTGGATCAGTAATGACAGCTCCATTCATTATTGTCCTTCGTAAAGAATGGCGGTGAAACCTACTTGTTGTTTGTTATGTGCCATGGAGTTGGAGCGACCCCTCCTTGGGTTTCTGAGGCAGTATCACTACGGAAGTAAATTGCCCCATCTTCCTTCAGAGGAGTGGCTGGTGGGTCTGAACCACCAGCATTCTGGTTAGCAGTCAAGTGCCTTAGGCATTGCGCTACCAGAGCTCCTAAAACCTACTTAGGCCTCACAAAGTCTTCTTGAGTCTTATCTAACACATTTACTCACTGTCAGTATCCACAAGCTATAGCATAATATCAGGCTTGGGTAAGGCAACCAGATCTGCAGAGGGTGATGATATACTCTGTGTGTGTGTGTGTGTGTGTGTGTGTGTGTGTCTCAGTGTCTCTGTGTCTCTGTGTCTCTGTCCAACTTGAAAGCTGTTGCTGAGGCATGCCTTCTCAGTATTTCTCTGAGGTCTTTGTTTTCTATAGTCTGGAGCATGTCCCTACCTGTACATGACATGGGATTGCTCAGGTATTATTAAAGTGTATACAGCTATTTTAACAGGAAACAACTCACCCCTTGGGTAATATGTGAGACTGAAAAAATCCTTAGCTGGTTGTTTATTCTTTATGGTGCTAGTATGTTGGCTTGCATATTTTCTCCCTCTGAATTAGTATTTGGAGTCTTTGGGCTCTTCAGTATAATAGTTAATGTCTTTCTGTTTACCCCCATGTAGAAGATGAAAGTTAAGTTAGCTGAAAAGTCCCAGTACTTTTCTGTCTCCGTAAAGTTTCTCTGCCTATTGAGATAACAGGTTCAGAACTTAGGAAATGACTTTGAATCCCTGTCAGAAGATTCATCAGCCCTTCCAGTCATTTGAATTTTAACATAAGACAAAGTGATGAAGTTTGCACTTATAAAAATCAGCCCTTTGCAGATGGATGTAACAACCCTTTTAAGAATGCTGCTGCTTTAGTCACATTGTACACATGTTTTGAAAGAATTAGCCCACAGCTGATCATGTCAGAAGAAAACAGTTTGGAAAGATATCCATGTGTCATAGGTCATGTAGCTTGTGACAAGATTTAAAGCAACAAGACCATGGGATACCATATCCATAGGATGGATACCAGATCCATCACAATTTTTGTAGAATGTTCTGCTAGCTGTTTGAGAGAGGCAGGATAAATCTCCCAAGCTTCCCCTTACCTCATTTGCCTTAAACAAAAGTCCTAACAGGCAAACTAACTGCCTGAAATAAAAATGAGCAAGGCCCAAATGAATGTGGAAAAGAGGCAAATGCCAAATGTCACCAGTCGAGTCC